CAGAGGGGAAGAGTTGCAGTTTTGGAAAAGAAGAAGATTTGGAAATAAAACCATCCCTGTCACCCCATATGGGTGTTACCTTTGAAGTTAGCCTCTGGGAATGAAGCTGTATGGCAGGCGTGTGGTTCAAAGAATTATGTGCAGCAGGCAGTGCACAGTGATGGCCTCAGCAAACTGGAATTCGGGTTGAAAGGCTGAGGGGTGATGCCATGATTCTGCTGTCTTTGAGGTACAACCTGGGGGACTCCCAAGGGTATTGCCTGACAAGGGCATTGTCAAATCACTCACACTCTCCCTGTGGCCAACATCTCTCCCTAAACTGTGTTGATGGAATCACTGTTACTGACAACGGGCACTGTGGCCGCCATGTGAGTCCCAGACCACAGGTGTCATCTGTATGCCCATCTGCCCTATTGTTGAGGGAAGACACGGTGTCAGTAGGAATATAAGGAGAGAAGGACTTGGATGGGACAAAGGCCTGGTATCTTCTCTGATGTGGGGAGCAGAGGGAGCAGTGGATGTGGTGGGTGGTTACGATGACAGACTTGGAATCTTAGGAGAGAAGCTGATCATGGAATGAACTGTCTCCATTGTGACAGGATATGGACTTCGAGGATGTTGCCATTGTCTTCTCTCAGGAGGAGTGGGGGCTCCTTGATGAGGCTCAGAGACATCTGTACTGCGATGTGATGCTGGAAGTGTTTGCACTGGTCTCATCTGTAGGTAAGACCTTCACATTCTCCCAGTGTCCTGAGTTGATGCCCACTGTTCTCTTTATTCTCCAGATGTAGCTTTCTCCCTCCCACAGCCAGACCACAGGAGGGGCTCTGCTAATTCCCCCACATTCTTGTTAAATGTGCTGTGGCTGCCAGTGGTGAGCTGTGTGGAGAGCCCGTCCACGGACCCCACGAACACCCATAACACAAGTTGCTTCAAAAAGTGCAGGAAGTGCCTGGGAGTCAGGAGTCTTGCAGAGAGCTTCCTGGGTGCCACCTTGCACTGCCTCTTCACGGTGCAGTGATGGTGTCCCCCCAATGGCTTCCACTTCTGCCCCTTCCTCAGCTAAAGGGTCTTTGTGACGGCCTGTGCCAGGGTATGGTCTTTACTTACGTGATCCATGGGCGGTTCTTGTAAAACCCTCCTTCAATTGTTTGTAATATTCTGTCCCCTGAATACTATGCAAGCTGTGTTAGTCAGGGCCAGTGCTGGCTGCTCACCTCTGTTGTCCTTCACTAAAACTCAGAATATTTAGGTTTGACGTTCTTGTACAGTAGAAGGTGCAGGGAGAACCCTGTTTTTTTCACAGGGTGAACATGCAACATGATCCCCGAGGAGGCTGGGCCTTGCTTAGTGGTCACTGGGCGAAGGTATGCCACATTGGGCTGTGTTCAGATCATACCAGGGACATCTTGATGTCCAGCAGTGTTTAGATGCAAGTGCCACTGGCCATCTCTCATTTCTTTCTTTCCTTTTCCTACCTGACACATTGCCGACTTGTCGTTTAATCTGCGACTTCCTGGCTTTTGTCTATCTTCACCTTTTAGAATTTTTGTATCACCTGTTCCTCTGCACTGCTGCCTCTGCATTACCAGGTGTACTGGTTAATAATAGCGGATTTCGTAATCAAAGAAAACATAATTTCAAGAGAAACATCAGAAGTGCTTTATTCAAAATAATGCCCATCGCTAGCTACACATTTCCCCATCTTTCAGGTAATTTGTGGATATCGTCCCAATAGAACTTTTCTTGTTTGGAGGCAAAGCATTCAGAGACCCAATTTTCCAGTTCTTTGTACTTTCTTTTAGTTTTTTTTTCCTCTGTACATTTCGAAGTGCTGCTCAGGAAGTGCATGTGCCATCGATTGGAACAAGTGGTAATGTGAAGGAGCAAGTTCTGGTGAATACGCCACATAGGTTAATCTTCCCAGGCAAGATTTTTTTTTTTAAATATATTTTATTGATTTTTTACAGAGAGGAAGGGAGAGAGAGATAGAGAGCTAGAAACATCGATGAAAGAGAAACATCGATCAGCTGCCTCCTGCACATCTCCCACTGGGGATGTGCCCACAAC